CGTTTTGAGCTCCAGAGTCGCTGAACAGGACACGAACCGCACCCCACCGATTCCTCGTTCGCAGAGCAATCCACTGGTGGGGTCACACGCGCGGTTCACGTCCTGTTCAGCGACTCTGGAGCTCAAAACGCGTCTACAGTTTCGACCGCGTCCACCGGTCTTCTGGCCCACTGTGCGGTGTTTCGAACGGCCAACCGGTAAACGGGTGGCTGGGCCTCTCGGAGACCTCTTGGCCCCATCAGGCAGCGCTAATAAGGAAGCCTGATGACTCCGACGTAACAGTAGTTGGCACCTTGTCACTGGCCAGGTAGAGCCGGCACGGCGCGGCACGGCACGGCACGGCGCGCCACGGCAGGCCAGGTGGACGACGTGTTGTCCCGAGTTCACGTCATTAGTGGTATGGCAACAAGTGGCCGCTGTGTAATAGGCTGGGAATCGCTGCCACGGAAAGAGGCTCGGATTCGAAAGAGGCGGCCCGGAGTGACATATCTTTTTCGGGGACACGGTCCTCCTCGCCAAGTCCTGGGAAAGTAGCTCCGGCAATCATTCATCGGTCCAGATAGTGTGTGAATCAGCAATGTGGCCAGGTACCATCGTCTTCTTCAACAGGGTCTTCTTCTTCTTCAACAGGGTCTTCTTCTTCTTCTTCTTCTTCTTCTTCTTCTTCTTCTTCTTCTTCTTCTTCTTCTTCTTCTTCTTCTTCTTCTTCTTCTTCTTCTTCTTCTTCAATTCTATCATCATCATCATTATCATCATCATCGTCATCATCACCATCACCATCATCATCGTCATCATCACCATCATCATCATCACCGTCTTCATCACCGCGTTGATGAATCACAACCACCTCTTCTCAAGGAATTAGGGTAGATTTGGCGCGAGATTTGACGGCACCTCGTTACGAGAGCTTCCCGCCCCGTGCCCACAGCGTGCCCACGGCGTGCCCACACCGTTTAGCGGCTAGGCCGTGATGGAGGTGCTCAAGTTCCGAGAAGTGTTCCACTTTGCGGCCCGCCAGGCTGGGCCAGGCTGAGCCGGGCTGCGCCGGGACACGCCGGGCGCTGCGCGTGGTGCGCTACCCCACCGGGAGGGACCCGATACCATCTTGTGTATCTTCATCACGGCCAGCCCGGGCCGAGCGCGAGAGGAGGAGGCTGCGGGTCGCGTCCGGGGGGCGTCAGCTCGCTGCGGGAGCGACGCAGAGGAGGCGTGGGTCTCGCTGCGGGAGCGACGGAGAGGCAGCGCGTCCCTGGACCACGTCCCGCAGCGGGTAATTAAAAACGGAAACATCCCAATAAAGCGATAAAAAGGCCGAAAACGGAGAAAGGCAGTTTACGGCGCGACGGAAAAGACAAAGACCGTGTCCGAATTCTTGAAGGGGCGATCACGCTGGACAGCCCTTGAGAGCTAAAGACTCAGCGAATACCAAGCGACCGCGAGTAGTAAGCGAACCCCATTGTCGCGGGCCGCCATCATTTTGACTCCCCAATGGCTCGCACCTTTCTACGTTTTTGACCATGTCACAAATAATTGGCAGTCCTATAGGATAACTCCTATGGCGTTCATCCTAGTCCAGTCGTCGGAGCCACGCTAAGCCCTCAGCGTGACAGTCGTTCCGTCCAAACAACCTCGACTATTAAACACAACGGAATATGGGAAAAGGTGTGTTCAAAAGCGGGCGATTGTATACTTTGAGATGCTGTTGGAGGGCTGTGCCTGTGGCTGTGCCCGGCTAATGCCGTATTAAGGAGAGACTCGAACGCTAAGAGCTCATAAATATATCCCAAGCTGTTAACTGCCAGTTGTATTCAGTTTGGTATGATGGTAGGAAGGTCATATACCGCGGAGTTTATTACACGCTGTAGACAGGTACGGCCAGGGGCTCAAGACAAACCAAGCCCCGTGCAGCACCAGGCAAACCTGCCTATCGACAGATTCTAACTCTTACGGTCCCTCGCGTCACTGTTCTAGATAGACACTGGGCCATTTAGCGTCTTATCAGAGCGATGTCAATAAGGCATAACTCACCAATATTGTTGAACGGGTGTTTTGAAAACAAGCTCCACGTCTGAAAGTCTTTCAGCAACCCGTATCAATGCGCCGATCAGAGCATGTCCATTTTCCCCAACCAGGCCGAATCATAAAAAGGCCGCTTTCTAGAGACACCCTGAGTAAAGCCGACTACAACGAAGCCTCCCGGCAGCCTATTTGGCAGCCGCTTGACAGCCACTTCTTCAGGCTGCAAAGCGAAGCCACAGCGAAGCGGGGCAGCGCGTCGGGCGCCCCTTCTCGTGTAGTTATCAATAAATCACCCCGACCGTTCCCTATTAGTTTACGCCGAGCCGTCAGCATGTAAATAGCGCGAGATGGGCATTGTTAGTTTAATTTCGGCCGTATAGGATGTCAAAGCAGAACGGACTCGCGCCCAAATGCCAATAAGTGTTAACTGCTTCAGAGATTGGAGGACTTGTCCAATCGCAGACCGCTTCAGGGCCGCCGGAAGTACTTTCTGGTGGGGGGGGCGAAATTTTTATGAAAAATTGTTGTGTTGCCTACCGTTAAGGGGCAACACCCAATACGGTTTAGACTTCTCTAATAGTGTTCCAAATCCAGCGAGCGAAGCGAGCTTAAAGCGAAAATTCATACAATTCTAGACTTTAACACAACTTTTGCCAATTAGAGCATAATCACACGTTTTTGGTGGGCGAAGCGAGCCAACGGCAAAATAATGGAGGAAAATTAAGAAAACCTGCGAGCGAAGCGAGCAAGAAGCCGAAAATCAAAGAATTTGCGACTTTGCTATATTGTGGTGATACGGCTTTTGAGCCTTCCACCACCCTTTCTGTGCACTAAGTCAGGAGCTCCAATTATCCACCGCGGCGATACCCCGCGCCAGCAGCGCGCCGCGCCTCCACTGTAGCGCGCCGCGGGCGATCGCGCGACCGATCGTGTGCGATCGAGACGAGGGAGCCGAAGCGGTCCGCCGGGCTGACCGAAGCTGAACCGAAGCGGGCCCGAAGTCCTCCACGGGCCCGGCCCGCGAACCGAGACCTCCGCGACTCCGAGCGGTCCGGTCACTCTGAGTCCAGCGGTAGCAGCGACTGTTGTCCCTCTGCGCACTCGTCCGCGTCGCGTCGCTCCGACCGACGCTCCGTACTTGCCATTGTACTAGTCTGTGTTGTCTGTACCTGAATAAACCTTGAGTTTACTAAGCCATACCTCCTACTCTCTCTTCGGTTCACCTCCCCAAACCTCCCCAAACCCGCACCCTCACAGGGACCCTCCGATCGAGACCGATCGGGAGCCGAAGCGGTCCGCCGGGCTGACCCCGAAGCTGAACCCGAAGCGGGCCCGAAGTCCTCCGCCGGGCCCTCGGCCCGCGACCCCGAGACCTCCGCGACTCCGAGCGGTCCGGTCACTCTGAGTCCAGCGGTAGCAGCGACTAGTCGTCCTCTCTGCTCACTCGTCCCGCGTCGTGTCTCTGAGACCTTCGCCCCGCGTACTGTACTTGTACTTGCTCTGAATGATTACTGATTGTCTGTACCTGAATAAACCTTGAGTTTACTAGCCATACCTCCTACTCTCTCTTCGGTAAACCTCCCCAAACCCGCACCCTCACAATATTTTTCTCTCTATTTCGAGCTCAAAATGGCACTTTTGTGTCTGAAAGTGGGGGGGGGCGATGCCCCCCCCACCAGATTTTGGGGGGGTCAAGTCGCCCCCCCCGCACCCCACTTCCGGCGCCCTTGGACCGCTTGGCGTCAGCTCGGCATAAATATCACATCTCTCCCGATCGCTGAAGGCCCGGAGGGCCATTAGTGTTTTCAACAAAAGGACATCTAATTCATTCTTTGTTTTTACAGCATTTCTTTTTCTTTTCAATGTCACGCGTGCAGTATAAAGGTCGAAAAGAAACCTCATTCATCAAATTCCACACACGCACACAGACACACACGCGGGCTCCCTTTCGGTTCCTTTTTTAGCAGAAGCGTGAGTCAACGTTGGCCCGACGATATCGGTCGATCATTGGCTGCGGTGCCAGCATTTTGAAATAAACGGCCCTAACTTCACACCACCGCTGTCGCCTAAGTAAAACATCGCAGCATCGCACACAAGCAAAGTGGAAACATTTCCAGATATTATCTCCGTTTTATGTGTCCATCCCTCGCGCCGTCTCTGTCGCCCAGCTTTCTCTCTCCGTCTGATACAATAATCCAGCCGGACCACGGAGAGAGAGAGAGAGAGAGAGAGAGAGAAAGAGAAAGAGAGGGAGCGTGGTTTCGTTAATTGCGCATCAAACAAAGACGCGCAAGTTTTAAAGTTGGGTTTCGTCAGAGAGAGAAATAAAATATCTGGTCTGTTTGGACGGCGTGTTGTTGGATGCGGGCAGCAGCTGCACGGTGGTCTGTATTCTCGTTTTATGATTTCGGTTGATACGTGCTTCGGGCACTCTGTCACCTGGACGGGTCCGAGCCCCGGTGCAGTGCCAGCACTCGGACGCCCAAATTATCAATCAAAAATCCCCTCCGCTTCTGTCGTTGTCGTTACTGTTGCTGTTCGTCGCAACGCGTTGGATGTTCGCGCCTAAATGCGTGTTGTTTTTTTTTTCTCCCCGGCGGTGAGAAATATTCACGTCATCTGGGTGCCAAATGGGGGCTCGTTTGGGAACAGCTTCGGCACAGCACCCGATGAGCGCGTCGCTCCGGAGGGAGGGGGGGGGGGCGCCACGCGACGCGGCTTGTATGGAGTGGAGCCGATTAGCAGAGTGGCGGGGAGGGGGGGGGGGACGGCAGCGCGCGGCGGGCCGGCAGTGGAGGGGGGACCGCGCCGGCCGGGTGGTGGGGGCAGCGTGCCGGCCTGGCCCCGCCTCCGGGGCGGAGTCTGCCGTGGCGGCGGGGCGCGGCGGGGCGCGGCGGCCAGCATCCAGCTCCGCGGCGCGCTGCCTCCGCGAGGCTTCGCCACGCCGGCCTACGCCGGGCCAGCCTCAGTAGCCAGCAAGCCACGGCACGGCGGTCGGGCCGCGCTCGGTGTGTTGACGACCAGCGGGCCTCCACGTGCGTAGCGCGAGTGCTCAGTGACAGTGCCATGAAGAGGAGGAAGTCATGAGAGAGGGCGCCCTAGCCATGACGACGCCGTCCACGCCGACGGCGCCCAGGAGGACCATCGGTTTCTCCATCGACTCGATCGTGGGGCGCCGGAGTCCGTCGCCGAGCCCGGAGCCCGGGCCGCTGATGCTGGCGGCGCGCGGCGGCCCGCGGACGCCCAGCCCCGACAGCCCCATCAGCCCCGGGGGCCGGAGTCCCATCAGCCCCGGACGCAGCCCCATCCGCAGTCCGTCCTCCGCGTCCGAGACCGATGACGGCGACCTCCACCGGCCGCAGGGCCTCCAGGGCCACGTCGTGTACCGGCCCGCCGCGCTGCCGCCGCCGCTCGGCCCCGGCACCGCCTGCTTCCCCGGCATCCACCCCCCGCCCCACCCCCACCACCCCGCCGCGCCCCCGCACCACCCCGGGCACCCGGGGCACCCGCCACTGCTGCCCCCGCCCATGCCGGGCTACCCCCTGTACCCCTGGCTCATGGCGGCACGCCACGCCAGGCCCTTCCAGCCCAGGTTCCTCGGAGGTGAGTCATTCATTCATTCATTCATCCATTCATTCGTTCATTCATTCATTCATTCATTCATTCATTCATTCATTCATTCATTCATTCATTCATTCACTCATTCACTCATTCACTCATTCATTCATTCACTACTGATGTGATGTTCGTAAACAAACCATCAAACTGCCTGCATGATGGCAACAACGGCTCGGGAAGTGTTCCATTACGTTCAATTCCGTGCTGTGGGATGCAGCACGGCGGTGACAACGGTGCCACTACCATCCACGCTCGGCTCCGTTCGCTCCTGTCTTTCAAAGTTAGCCAGACTCAAAAGCAGCGAAGTATTTTATCGAGTTGGGTGCGGCCAATTTTCAAATAATTGCTGCGTTTTCCCCCTTCTGCATCATATTCGTCCGCAGGACGCTCAAACTCCTTTGATTGGCAACTGCTCAGGAAGCGGCCGGTTAGCCGAACACGTCGAAGAAGTCGAAGAAGCGGCGGGGAGGCGCTCCTCTTTTCCAGAAAGAGGGGCGTTCTCTCCCCGAGCTCTCCGAGCCTCGTCCTTGTCACTCGTAATAACCATAGGGCCACCTCTTTGGGGCCAAAAGCGCGCGCCCGGCCGAGACGGCATCGCCCATTTGACAGATTAATTTCTGCAAATGCGATCTCTGTTGTGTGTGTGAGTGGGCTATTAGCGCGGGAGGACGCAAAGGAGGGGCGTGCCGTGGTTGGGGCCCCCGCGGCGGGGCGGGGTGGGGGCGGCCCCCCCTCGGGCGGGGCGCACCCCAAAAGGGGGCCCCAAAGGGGGGGCTCCCCGACCCTTTGGCCGGCCAAACCAAACTCAAATTACAGTGTGTGTGTTTTGACACGTGAATAAACCATCGTTCTGCCCATGGGCGGGAGCCGGTCGTTACCTAATTGGTGTGTGTGTGTGTGTGTGTGTGTGTGTGTGTGTGTGTGTGGCCGTGTGAATGACATCTGACAGCTGCTGGCCCGTCTGCAAAAATAAAACGGTTCGAAATCCAAGCGCCACGGCGACGGGAGCTTCTCGGAAAGGCGTCGTGAGCACGAGAGCTACTTTGTGCACCTCGGGCGGTGCTTCGTGCGTTCGGAAAGGAGGTCGCCGTTAGGGAGCGGCAAATCATTTTCAACTACCGAAAGGGCGCGTTGAAAAACGACTTTTAAAAAAGGCGTTTCGAACGCGGTGTTGTTTGTGATGGGGGTCGTTTCAATTAGCTGTGGTCGGGACTTGGGGACACAGTGGGCTTGGAAAACGGTCCCGTATCGGCAGGAAGCTATAATTCTATGCCGCCTATGCCGACTATGCCGGCTGCGCTCCGGAAAACGGCCATTACGGTTTCGGTGCGCGCTTCTGGTGAGGGGCGGTCCCTGTGTAGTCCAGTAAGGCGGTTGCGAAAAGGAACCCTGCAGGGCCACGGAATAAGGCAGTTCGGTAGCGTTATGACATGGACTTTGAATCTAGGAACTGTGTCCCAAAAAAATCCAAAACAAAAATTTAAAATAAGATTTTAGTTTGGATAGTTTTCGTTTTAGGGACGGCCCCCGCGGCCCCGATCCGATAGTGCCGTGCCGTGCCGGACTGCCACGGAGCTGGCGCCTATTATAGGCATTACCAGCACAATCAAACTGTCAGATTCGTTTGATATGATTACAGTTTAGGTTGCTGGCTGGCTCTGCCTGCCTCCGGCCCGCCCCCTTGCTCTCCCGCCCCTTTGCGCCTTCGGTTGTCACCAGTCACATCAGCGCCTCATTTGGGCCTAGGCGCGCTTGCTCCCACAATCGCAATCACCGACGATTGCAATCGCTTGCATGGATTGTAAGGAGCCGTCGTCAGGACAATTGAAGAGCTGCCTCCTCGCTCACGCGGCCAAGGAGGACAATCAGTGAGAGTGGAGCGCAGCGGAGCAAAGGTCAAACGCGTAAAATATTTTTCAAATAACTTTGAAATTTTAATTTCAAAGTAGTTTGAAAATTTCTGGTATGTAACTATTTTTTTTTACTTTTTGAAGGAAGACAATCATTGAGAGTGGAGCTCAGCGGAGCAAAGGTCAAACGCGTAAAATCATAATTTTTCAAATAACTTTGAAATAATAATTTTAAAGTAATTTGAAAAATTTCCGAAATGTGGTTATTTTTTAACTTTTTGCGCGAAGAACAGATCGCGTGCCGCTCTGAGGGCAGAGCTTGCCAGCGGGTATGAAAATGTCCCAACGCAGCCACGCAGTGCCTCGCACGGCAGGCAGCCGGCGAGTAGGACGGACAAAAGCCGGCCGCTTCGATAGTAATTGAAAACGCTTTAATCCCCGCGCGCAGCGAGGAGCACATTATGGAAATGCGGGCTCTTTCCACACTGCTTACACTCGAATAGAAAAGTCGACGCAGAGTCGCGACGCGTACTTGTAGTTATCAAACTTTGGCTGAATTTTACTGGAAGAAAAGTTAGAATTTCAGTGAGGAGTTACTGGCCGAAAGAAAAGGGCGACTACCAGTCATTGACATGCTAATTGACTAACTCCTTCATTTCGAGCGCGTGGTACTCCAGACGACCGCATTAGCCTCACAGACGTGTGTCAAGCCTACGACCTAAAAATAAGAAACACCGCGAAAAAAAGAGGAAGATAATTTTAAAATCCACTCACCGCTTCGCGCTGCTGTGGGACGCGGAAAAAGTTAATTGAGCTGCCACACTGGCAATCAATTATTCTGTAAGCAAATACGCTCGTTGTCTGAACGATTGCGATCAACAATTAGCGCTCGACAATACTTACTCAATCCAATCACTGTCGCCGGGACTCGAAGCCGGGCCGGTGATGTCCGTAATTGAACATAAGTCACACGCGAGGAGGTGTTGCACAAGCCAGGCCGTTCCAGGCCGCCGACGCGTCGGTACACTGTGGGGAAGGCAGTCACCGACGACACCAACCCCGGCAGTGCTCAAAATAAAAAAGGGTTTTAAAAAAAAGAAAAAATAAAAATTGCAATTTTGCCGGCGGGCGGTCTCGAACCAGCGACCTCAGTCAGCGATCGGGATTAGGAGCCGCATAAAGGCGAGTGCTCTCCACTACACTCGGCGGGCTTTTCGAGCGCGCGATGACGGACGACCCCATCGCGGCCCCGCCTGCCATTGGCAGCCAACTAGAGGCGCGAACACGTTTACGGCCTCACACTTTGACGTGTGCACCAAATAGCGCGACCGCGGCGCGCCCTGGCGAGCACTGGCGCGCCCTGGCGGCCGTGGCACGTTCCACTTTATTCCTCAAGCCGAGCCCCGCCGAGCCCGGCCGGGCCGGGCGGCGGGCAGAGCGCGCATGCACCGGGAATCTCAAATTAGCCTCAAATTAAATTATGAAGGACAATGCGGCCGCTCCTTGGCATGCCGCCGGCCATGCCGCACGACACCGCAGCCCCAAACAAACTGGCAGTGTTGTTGTTTGTTTTTAATTTAAAATTAAAAACGAATATAAATGTGATTTTTGAAAAGTTAGTTTGAAACGATTGTAGAAACGAGTTTTAAAAAAATCAAGATTTTAGCTTTAGATAGAAACGATTTGAAATTCGATTTTTTAAAATGAGTTTTCAACCAATTTTTTTAACTTTATTTCAGAAATATGCACCGGTTTTAAGAAAGGTTAAAAATGGAGTTTTGAAAAATTTTCTCCGCTTCCAGGCCCCGACTTCGCCGGCTTCCTGCTGCACCCGTTCCGCAAGCCCAAGCGGATACGGACGGCCTTCAGCCCCAACCAGCTGCTCAAGCTGGAGAAGGCCTTCGAGAACAACCACTACGTCGTCGGCGCGGAGCGGAAGCAGCTCGCGCAGAGCCTCGGCCTCTCCGAAACACAGGTGAGCTTCCAGTGGGCCAGAACACCGGTGGGGGCGGTAGAAACCCCTGACGCGTTTTGGGCTCCAGAGTCGCTAAATGGTACTCGAAACGAGCGTGTGACCCCACCTATGGATTGCTCTCCGAACGAGGAATCCATTGGTGGGGTTACACGTTCGGTTCGAGCCCCATTTAGCGACTCTGGAGCTGAAAACGCGTCTAGAATACTGGCCGCGCCCTTGGCGCTCCGCGTTAAGGTCTCCCGGGTAGGCCAGCCCCGCGGTGCGACGCACCGCTGTGCGGCGGGTTGCCTGCCCCAACTTCGCAGGCGGCGTGCCTCGAGACACGGTCCCGCATCCCAGCGACTTTTCCACATTTTTTTTGCCACTTAACACGACTAACTCCCAAGCACGCCCTGAGCACGGCCGCACTGATTCAGTAATGAACATTTTTGCGGCGTCGCGGGTTCGAATACCGGGTCTCGTCGTTTTGTTTTGCGGGATTCCGCTGGGTGGCGTGAGTGGATCGAGGGGAAGGGGCACTGTTAAAGACGTTTCCGAGGTAATTGGCCCCGATTCACGCCTTGTTGCTACAAGGTGAGAAAAGGCAGACCTAGCGCGCCAGGAAGGGAAGGGGCCAGCAACGCCACTCCGGCACCGCCCTCTAGCTTTCTATCCAGCGCTTCAAAAAGGGTGTCCCTTTCCGTTGCGAGCGAAGCAGCGCTAGACCGTCCGGTGGGTGTCAGCAGCCATGTACCGGAACGACCCATTGGCCGGGGGTCGTCCCTCGCCGTGACTAGTGGCTACTGCACTGCAAAGACTCGAAAAAAAAGAAAAAAAACCGGAGTCAATTTATTTTGAAAATGGCTCTGCATTTACTCCCAAATTCGTTTAGTGTTGTTACATGAAAATTCAGCTGTGGCAAGTATTGGTGTTTCGATTATTCAGTTATTTCCGACCACAAAGCCAAATTAAAAGCCTTTGTGGCCAAACGGGTCTTGATGTCGTTCTGCCCTATGCCAGACTCTCATCTTGGCTTTGGAAGGAAAAAACACCAATACCGGTAGGGCTTGAATTTCACGTAAAATGAAAAAAATTGGGAGTCCTACTGTCGTTTTTGGCAGTGTCCCAGGGCTTCCCCTATGCTCTTCGCTCCGCGTCGATGTACACGCCATAAAGCAGGCCCGGCACCGAACAAATCATGTCGCAATCAGAGAGAGAGAGAGAGGGGGGGGGGATTTATGCAACAGATTAACAGGGAAGTTCATTGGGTGGGGAATTAGCAAGCAAGCCGCACGATACATCGCTAACGTGTGGCAAAAGTAGTGCCAGCGCCAAACTTGCTGCAGTTGTTCCATGAATGCCTTTCGAACCGTTTTAAACTGCTCAAGGCGATGGAGAGGCTTCGCTCTGACTCAGCACTCAGTCGACGGCGACGGCCGAGCGCTGTTCCGGTTTGCAAGCGCGTTGTTTTAGCTCTGCGCTGCTTTCCCGATCTCCCAATTTATCTGTTCCGGTCGGGGCGACTCTGGCGGGGGGGATTGGCGCGAAGGCGAGGCGGGGCAAAGGTCAGAGGCAGCCATCCATCACGGGGATGATCGTCGCCAAATCCCACAGCCACTTTCGCACTCGCTGTGGCGGCGCGACGGACTGCCGGCAGGGAGCGGCCCGGCCACCCTCCCAGACCCCTATTTTTATAGCCACAGCGACGCGCATTAGGCAAGAAATACATATAGCAATTGCCCAGCGAGGCGAGGCGGGCTGTCCCCTCCCCTCCCGGGTCGTCCGCGTCGCGACGGGTGGACGCCATTTTGAAGCATTTGTCGCTGTTAGCCTCGCGTAGGCCACTCCCCTGCCGATGCCTGCCAGCTCGGTCTGCCCGGCCTGCCCGGCCAGCCACCCCGACGAACCAGTTTGGCGACCATGGGAACAACAGACTTCAATTGTACGAATTACGCTAGAGTTCATTCACGGCTAGTCGAGCGGATAGTTCCTTCTTGGGACCACGAGGCGAGCCACGAGGGTTCTATTGGTAGTATCACGAGTTGCTTCGAGTCCTATTGGACGCACTCTCATCTGAGAAATCATTCATGGCTTGTCAAGCGGAGAGTTTGCTTTCAGCGCACACTAAATTACTGCGAAGTTGTTTTTTTTGCGCATGAGCTATGCACGAAACTGCCTGCGTTTCAAAATGCACGAATTTGTTCGAATTCATTGGATTTGTGCACCGAAATTCACAGTGATTGCTCGTAGAAAGTTTGTGACGGTACCGAGGAGACCGAGGACCGCCATGCGCGGCAATCGAGTTTGTTTATTGCGTAACGAGCTTATTATAGCGGCACCCTCGCGGCCCCCTCCACTCCCTCTCCCCCCTCCCCTCTTCCGCCAGCAGCGTAACTCTGTCATTACTGAAATAATTTGTCATCCGGTAGTCATGGGAGCCGCACGGGCGGGCACCAGTGAGCAGCCATGATTTTCACTTTGAATAGCGCTTTTTTTTTGTTTTTTTGTATTGTTATTTTTTTTTGTTGGTTGTATTGCTATATGGTTATTCGGGAAAGCCGCCATGGCTGAGTACCAGTGCACTCAAGCAGCCCCCCCCAGAAAAAAACTTTAAAACACATTCAAATAAACGTTTAAAAAACATTTTTTTAAAACTATTTGAAGAAGCATTTTTTATAAACATTTTAAAAAGCATTGTAAAAATTAATTTTAAAAATCATTAAAAAGGGCAAAGAAAACCAGAATTTGAACCAAAAAGAATACAGACACGTAGAACCAAATTGGTTTAGTCTAGCGGATTCCACAGGACGCGATAAGTTTCACGCCGAGTTTTCGTAAGTTGGCACGCCGTCCGGGTCGGGACGCGCGGGACGCGGCCGGGATGATCCGAATAACAGGCCCGATAATAGCAGAAGCGATTATGGAAATGATGAAGCGGGCTTTTCGGGGTGTGTGTGCCACACGGAGGCACACTGTGGCACGCTGTGGCACCGTGGTGGCCAGCACAATGGCAAGGCAGGGAGCGCTTGCCGCCGCTTTGCTGCCCCTGCAGAGTCTGTCTCTCTCGCACCGCCAGGGGACGCCCCATGAGTGCGAGAGAGACGGAGCATCGGCCTGCTGATGGGAGGGGCGGCATGCCACGGCGGCCCGTTAAGTGAGTGACATTACCCGTCCTGAATACCAAGTGGGGCCTACAGTGGGCCTACAGCGCCTCGGGGACGACTTAGCCGGCCGCAGCGCCGCGCAGCTAACCCTCCAAAACCAAACTTTTAGCCGAGCTTTTTTTTTTCCGTCGGGGGCGGCAGTGGAGTAGTTTATTGTTTGCTTGCTGTAACTTACGTTGCAAACGGGGCCAGAAAGGGTGATTGATTTTTTTTAAAAAAATTCCAAAATTTGTAGGCTTATATGATATAAGCCTTTACATGGCATGGGCGGTAGCGCTCGAGAGACATTTTTCCACACACACACACACACACACACACACACACACACACACACACACACACACACACACTGCAGAATTTCCCCCGTTTCCTCCGCTCGTCTCCATATTTCCCTCCTTCCGTGCGCCATGCCATGCTGCTGCTGCAGCGGCGCGTGGGTGGTTGCTTCACCGCGGCGGCCATGCTGTCACCCCATTTTCTTTCCAAACATGTCCTTAGAAAGGCAAACACCGCCACACTCCACCACTCCACTCTCTCACACACAGACGCAGACACACTCACACACACACGGACGCATTTTCCACGCCCCGCGCGCGCTTCGCTGGCCGCGCAGGCTGGCCGGGCTGGCCTTGTAAATGGGCGGGTAATTTATCGCTGCGAGGAAAGGTCCCACCCGCCGACACACTCTCAAGTCTGTATGGCCGGTAACGCCTTCCTGCCACGCGCTCCAAAAGGGGAAGAGGCGAAAAAGACCGAAAAAAAAAACCCACACACACTAAAACTCTCGGCAGAAAAGAAAGACCGTTTAATTGCCGGGAAAGTGTTGCGGGGTCTTTTTTACTGCTGACAGTTTTCTATTAAAAATTTAAGGGGCGAAAAAAAACCATTCAAAATTAGCGCCCGAAAAGTAGAAAGTTGGGCTAAATTTTTTGGAAGTTGGCAGCCTTTCTCGGTTTCCCAGCGGCGACGGCCCCGATCGTAATAGGCTGCAGTGTCTAGCCTCGCGCCGGGCAGACTTACAGTGGGGGACCAAAGTGTCGCCAAAGTGTAGCAAAAAGGGTCTCGAATGAGGGGGCAGCCTAGCGCAGCCGGGCCAAGCTTGTTCCCAACTCCCATCACTCCCCGAGCGTGACCGCCGGACCAACTTCCAGCCAGCCAGACCGAGCAGCCAGCCACTGCCAAGTTTTTATTGTGAGTGCGAAATTGTGCGCCATTCAGAGTAATGACGGCAATGGGGTTGGCAATCGGCAACGTGCATGTTTCACCACAAAAAAAAAAAATCAAGCGGACGCAGGGTTGAGAATGAGTGGTTAAATGTAGCTTTTCGAAAACTTTGGCTGAACTGAGCGGACTTCATACTGGGTCGAGGAAGAGAATAGGCATACGTGTAAACACAATCAAAAGCATTTTATCGTACAAATTAGTGTGTGGCCAGGAATGCTTATAGTGGACAGGTTCTTCGGAACAGTGAGCTGGTCCTCTTGAACAGTGAGCTGGTCCTCTTGAACAGTGAGCTGGTCCTCTTGAACAGTGAGCTGGTCCTCTTGAACAGTGAGCTGGTCCTCTTGAACAGTGAGCTGGTCCTCTTGAACAGTGAGCTGGTCCTCTTGAACAGTGAGCTGGTCCTCTTGAACAGTGAGCTGGTCCTCTTGAACAGTGAACTGGTCCTCTTGAACAGAGAACTGGTCCTCCTGAATAAGACAACTGATCCTCTTGAACAGTGAACTAGTCTTGCTGAACAGTGAACTGGCCCTTCAATCGTAACGAAGCCCTCTGACTTCTCCGCCCGGGTTCACGACAAAGTTGCACCGATGGCTGGTAACGCTTCGAACAGCCCCCACAATGTCTTGCTGAACTGCTCCGAGATAAAACGGACGACCCCAGCGGAAGCCCTGCGGAAGCCACCCCCTCGCTCGCCAACTTAGTTGCGACCGAGTCGCGTTCCGGCCGGACCGTCCTCAGTCTTTACCCAGTGATTGAGCTATTTTCCAGCGCGCCATAAAAGCCGTCCACAGTAACCACCCCATTATACCACCCTCCCTGCTCCTTAGTAAATGATCTCCTGGGACCCTCGAGTGGCGGACAGTAGCAGTGATAGTCGAGGGGGTGGGAGGGAGAGGGGGGAGGGGAGGGGGAGGGGAGGGGGAGGGGAGGGCTGCAAGAGCGCCCCGGAGACTAGTTATACACTCTTTGTATTTAGATGCGGCAAACCCGCCCCTTCTCGCCCTGCCCCAGTTGCTTGCTCTTTTGTACCTCTCTCTCTCTCTCGCTCTCTCTCTCTCTCTCTCTCTCTCTCTCTCTCTCTCTCTCTCTCTCTCTCTCTTCTATCTCTCTCTCCCCTCGTCCGCTTCGCCCCATCCCCATTGTCTCGTTAGCCAGATGATTGTCGCGTGTGCCCGGGGAGTGTGTCTGTCGTTTATTTTGCTTTCATTTTGCGCCTTTATGTGACGAAATTGGCGATTGATCGTTCGGCTGCGTGTCACCGGCGCGGCGGGCAAAAACGACGCATCTGCCGTCAGCCGGGCCGCCAGTTGCGACGCTCTTCCTTGGCGCAGTCGGACCGCGGAGGTGCGAAACTTGCTTGCAATCTTGTCCCTCTCGAAGGTGATACGGAGAAAACCGCACACAATGCGCCAGGTAGACCGACGCGGACAGACGGCTCGTTATTTTCGTAGTGGATCGGCGGCAGGAGGCGTTGAATGGACTACAACCTCCGCGACAAAATACGCCTTCTGTTCGCCCGCCACCGAAACTGCAGCAGTATACGCGGCTTGACTAAAACTGAGTGCTTCTGACTCAAAAAACGCTCCCTGAAAAAGTCTGATGGAAAATAAAATGGTCGCATATTTTTAGTTGCATTAATCGCAGAACTGAATGGCGGAAAAGGGTTAAGCGGGAAGAGCGCGTGAGGTTTATTAATTGGAGCGATTCAGAGCTCGGCATCAGATAGCGCTGGAGAGGGGGGGGGAGACAGAGACGGTGTGATATTATCTGCTTGTCGGCTCCTATTAGAGAGGCAAAAAAGAGAACAACCGTTGGTGACGAGAGAGAAGGGAGAAATAGCACGAGGTGGTGGCAGTGGTAGTGAGAGTGTCACAGAGAGAGAGAGAGAGAGAGAGAGAGAGAGAGAGAGAGAGAGAGAGAGAGAGAGAGAGAGAGAGAGAGAGAGACAGAGAGAGAGAGAGACAGAGAGACAGAGAGACAGAGAGACAGAGAGGAGGGGGTGGCGATTATGCGAGGGGTGGCAATCAAAATATTATTTCATAGCACGCACAATTATCCGAGGCCCGGCCTTCCCGGGGGTTGGCCAGGAAGGGGTGGGGGCAGGGGCAGGAAAGAGACGGCCCTGGCCCGGGGTTGTCCCTGCGGTGGCGTCTCTGCGTAGCTTTTATTGCGACCGGTGTTACAACTAACTAGCTCCATTTGTGATTTCGGTCGGTTTTCTCGACCTCCAGTGCCACGGCGTGCGCTTGCTGCGCGTCTACTGTTTCAAAAGGACCGTTTCAAGAGGGCTTACTCTGGGGTGGGGGCAAACTAATTTCCAAAAATTTCGATCAATTTCAATTTTTTTTTGTAAAATTTGTAGCCTTTTAAAGTGTAATTCAACTTGTTGTTTTCCCGACATTGAGCGCCAGGTTGCCGGATGACTCATGCGAGCTTGCGTTGCGTGCCCACAGGTGAAGGTGTGGTTCCAGAACCGGCGGACCAAGCACAAGCGCACGGAGCAGGAGGAGGAGGCCAAGCGCACCTCGACGGGGTCCTCGCCGCAGAAGCGGCCCTCGGGCTCCACGGAGTCCGGGCCCAGGTCCACCAGCACCTCGGACCGCGACGGCCACCCCTCGCCCTCCCCGCCGATGTCCCCCGAGTCCATGGACGAGCACATCGACCCGGACGACGACGGCCCGGACTGAGTTCGAGTCTCGGGTTCGAGTACCGGCCGGGCCGCCGCTTTTTGTGCCCAAGGGATTCTGTGATTCGCCCAGCTGGGTTAACATTGTTACCAAACGTGTCAAGATCCTTCCGGAGGGGAGGCAGCACTGACGTTGTGTGGTCAGGCGTTGAGGACTCGTCGCCGAGTTCAACAGTTCCTCAACTTGCGTTGACTTTTTTTTTTAAAGTGTGAAAGAAAGATGGACTCCATGTGCTATTGCGTGTATAATTTATCTGCCTTTATTTTTATTATTTCTTTTCCGATGAAACAGAGTTCCTCTGAGGGGGGACGCGAATCCCTCTCAAATATCAAGACTGCGTTATGCTACTTATTTATTGTTGCTGTGTCTGTGACCGACTGTAGAGAGCATCTACTGAAATTTACTGTCTTGCAGCACTTTTGATGCACTTTTTTGCTCTGAAAAACCTGGAATAATCCTTCAGTGATGACTTAACGATCTCTTCGCAATGTTGACTATAATAGAAAGGTCTTTCAAACAGAGTGTTGGTCCTGTTCCATCTTGCTGCAATCTTTGATTTCCACGCCAATTGTTCACACGTCTTTAGTCATTTTTTTCGTACGAGTGTAATAATTGTAAGTAGAGTTACTGTACAAATTTGTAAAAAGAATAGGTTTTATCTGCATAAAGTTTATCGATACGGTATATATAAGATGGTTCAAATACATTGTGCTACTTACCAAACAGCGAGCCGGTACAATTTCTTATCCATTGTTCATATCTTTTTTGTTCACTCACTGGATACACAAAACCAAAATCAGGAAAAGGGGGCAGGTGGATTCCTCCAATGGATTCCTCGTTTGAAGGGCAATCCATTGGTGGGCTCACACGTTCGGTTCGAGTCCTAGCGACTCTGGAGGTCAAACCACGTCTAGAATTTTGGCCGCCTCCACCAGTCTTCTGGCCAACTTTGCATGCAGTGTGTTCCGTGTTTACAGGGGAAAATTTCCCGCCATGAATCACCTCAAGTACTCCCTGATGATGAATCACGCGTTAAGACGGAGCGGCTCGGGTAAACACCGCCTATTCAATCTATCGGGCCGAGGCTAGACAAGTCGGAGCCCCCATAACCTACCCGAGGCTGCGGCCGGGCTGCCAGCTCCACTGCCAACGACACCTGACGGGCATCCTCTACTTACGTATGCACTAATCCGTTGGGGATAATTTGAAAGCAAAGCATTACGCCCCAAATTGCTGGTAATCACTGCTTCCATACTCAGTTGGCCGCTGACGTGGCTGGCCCCTCCCCCCGCCACGCCACGCCAGGCCACGCCAGGGACCGGTTCGTCCTCCACAGACATAAACTAGAACAATACTCGAGTCAGCACCAAAAACAGCAGTTGCCGAAGCCGAACAAGCACCGCTCGGACCAGTTCCGAATAAATCACATTTAATCAGAGCTTGTGTTGTTTTTAATCTGCTCAAGGCGAGCAATTGTTCACATTTAAAGGCAGCCTACTTTCGTTTTTTGTTGCCGGGGCTTGGAGCGGCCAATGGTCGTTAATCGAGTATCATTAATACCGTATCAAGATTGCCCCTCCCGCGGGACGCGTCCCGAGCTCCGGTATCTCTCCTCGCGCGATCAGGCCTTCCTCCGTCAGATATTGATTCAATGGCGTGAACAAGACCTTTTCGGGCAGCGTTCTGGTTCAGTCCAAAGGTCGATCGGGGTCAATCGGGATTTAATTACCATCTGACAAAGGACAATGCATGAGGAGGTTGTGAGTACGTAGCAGAAGGTTGGATGCTGTTTAGTTTTACACTGAGCTGCCCCGTTTGGGTGCCCTTCGCACCGTTAACCCAAACCGCGGCTGATGAGAGGCCGTGCCATTTAAAGATCACTTGAACCATTGCACGCGAATAGTGGTGCGAAGCCCCAGGGAGCGTCCGTAAGCTGCCGGTCTTCATCGGATCGCCTCAGAAGAACGGCGCAGCCATTAACCCGTTCAAATACCGTCGGTTTACGATTGGAGTGTGTACGGGAGCCCCCTCACGCCGCCGGGGACGCGTTCCACCGGCCTCGCCTCCACACGAGCGCTCAGCACCCGAACACCGCCCGAGCGCGCCTGGATGCTTCGGCTGCGTTCGGGTGCTTCGGTTTCGAACACAGTCCCGCCTCGGGGCGCGCGGCGGTCGAAGCGAGCCAGCCTGCATCGCCTGCGTGAAGGCGCCAAGTCTGCGTCCGAGGTTCGCGCCCGTGCGGGTGCGAGAGAGACGGAAGCCGGCCCCCTCGCACGCAGAGCTCGCTGTGCATGCCGCGCCACTTCACACCCGGCCCGCGATATCCCCAGCCATCATCTGAAACGAAGAAATGTTATCCGAGTATCGGGACAGCTTCCGATCAGCTCCACGCGGCCCAGGGCGCCCCGGCCGACCGCTTTCAGAACCAGCAACATTCAACGCTCTCGGAGTTTCCACATTCGTGTTCGGCAACGTGACGTCAACAAGCCTACGAATTTTCCCGAAGGTTGCTTGTCCTGCTGCTACACTTCACCTTGCGGTATTCTCCCGTGCCTTCCTCAGTGAAACGTCACACAGCGGCAACCTCGACTGGCGTGCGATCAGCGCAAAATTGTACCAGCCAGCGTGCCGAACTGACACGTCGACGAGCCCCAACTAACAACGTGATATCGCTTATAATGATGAACTACTCTCTTACACGCACACTTGCACACACACACACGCACACACACCAGCATCCCCATCGAATTTTCCGTTTATGCCAAAGTTCACGCCGCTGCTGGGCTGCTAGGCCGGGCGACGCCGGGCTACGCCGCACGAAGTAGGCAGTACTTAGCCGCCACAGGCACGCCGCGTTTATGTCAAGTCGTGTACGAACCCCTGTACTTTGTATCAGACGGCCAACGGCGACGCCCACCGAGGCGGCCGGGCTCGGCGCCGACCGGCCCCTCTGTCTCTCTCGCACCCACGGGTCATCCCGCGGGGCGCCGAAGGGGTGCGAGAGAGACAGAGCGTCGGCCCCGCGCAGCGAAGAGCGAATTAGGTTCGCTTATCACACCAACAGCTTGTAAATGTTCTCCGGGAGGCGTGGCACTGGCGGGGCCGGCCGCCGGGGCTGGCAGGGCTGGGCTCGGGGCGGGACGGACGGAGCAGCCAGCCAGCGCCGCGTTTTTGTGTGAACACTCCGAGATGAAAGTCTACATAAACACGTTCACACTCCCTCGCTCGCTCGGGCCGGTCAATTCATTAGTCGGGTCATTAACGATGGCCTGTTGAGATTTCTTTCATTCCTCGCTGGCAGTCGTTGTTGTTATTGTTGTTGTTGTTGTTTGGGGGCTGGGTCAGTGAATATTAGGAGGAAAATGTGTAAACATGATAATTCGAGCCGGCAGCGGCAGCGGCCTCACCAGGCCGATATTGGAATTCAGAATACTAAAGTGTTTGATCAGGCGGGTCCAGCTTCGGCAAAGGATGATGCGATCGGGGGCAGGGGCTGGAAAGGGAGGGGGGAGGGGGAAGGGGATTCCGAGGGAGGAATAATTACCCGCCGATGGCGGGGAAACCTTAGAAGTGAGCCTGCTTTACACACACGGAGCGGGGCGCCGCAACACGCCACCGTCGAGATATCGATTATAGCGGAACTATCGAGATGCCCCGGACAACGAGGTGCTAAACAGCCGAAAAACGCTGGGACGAGATTTTCAGCCAAACGCCGAATGGGATATTTACACGCAGGATTGAAAAATCTGCAAGTCCTCCGTAGAGTCGAAGGGTGAACCACTCAGCGCTCTGGTGTACACACACTTATCATCTTACGATGGTAACGCGAACGTAACATACGCTGAAATCAAAACATGCGTATTACGCTGAAATGTCATCGTACTACAATCGCAATCAACGTACCTTACGTTGACAACGTGCGTAATACGTTGAAAACATGCGTATTACGTTGAAAATCCTGCGTACCTCACGTTCACATTCGTGCGTATTATGCAGGTTGGAAATTGGTCGTACCTTACGATGGAAAATCATCGTATTACGCACGAAAACCAACGTAAGATGATAAGCGTGCACATGAGTACTACACCTTACTTTACTCATAAATTTAGCATTTGTAAACGATCTATGGCTTTCTTTAGCGTTTGAAACGGCACTCATCACCAAATCGGGCGAAAAACTAGTGAATTTCATCCTTTTTAAACTTCTGAGTATGTAGACTTTTTTACAGGAGAATTCGTGCTCATGAGTACACTAGTGATTCACCTCTCGCGTAGAGTTCACATTTTTTCAATTTCTGTTTCTGTTGGTTTTTTTTCACTGTGTCAGCGGCCTTGCCCAAATCACAGAGGAACACGGCATGGCGCTCGCTAAACGAATTTCCAGCACCGCCCCCATCCTTTGGGTCACCTTTGGGCTTAATTAACGGGGGCCGACCAAAACAACAAAAGCCTTGTTTTGTCTTGTTTTGGTTTGTGTTGCGGCGCGGCGAGATGGTGCACCGAGGCGAGCAGATTCAGCGAGAAATTGGTAAAGGACTCTCTCTCTCTCTCTCTCTCTCTCTCTCTCTCTCTCTCTCTCTCTCTCTCTCTCTCTCTCTCTCTCTCTCTCTCTCTCTCTCTCTCATCTTAAGCGGCAAATAAAATACACAATACGTCACTTGGCTCCCAAACACGCATTCTTGGAGGCAAGGCCAGAGGGCCCGATGGCCACGGTCCATCCCATCCGCATGCAGGACGCGAAGCGAAATCGGAATTCCAAAACCGGAAAAGCGCATTATGCTAAAAAGGTCCGGCGGCCCAGAAAAGTGCCGCAAAATGATGGTATCGCATGCAGGCCGCCCCGCTCGGCGATGCACAAGCAAAGTGCAGCTCGGCGGTGATTGCATTATGTAAGTACCTGTCGCCCTGTCGCCGCTCGCGGCCGGACTGATGAATGTCCAATTTATCGGGCCGCTCAATTTTCGCGACCAGTGCATAGAGACCCGAGGGCTCTTGCGACCGGCTGGGCCGAGAGCATGCGGAGCTTGGCCAAGACACATTTCTTCTTTCTGGATGGTACGTCCGCAAAGCGCTCGCAGAGAAATGAGTGACAAAATGATATTTTTAATTTTGCCGCATGTGAAACATTTTATAAGAGATTGAAATGTCTTTCAGCACATGTTTGCTACACATTTTTCTACCGTTTCTTTTTTCTTCTTCCGCACACAGGTGCGTTTAAGTGTGTGCGTGTAAAGAGGGAAAGAGAGAGAGAGAGAGAGAGAGAGAGAGAGAGAGAGAGAGAGAGAGAGAGAGAGAGAGAGAGAGAGAGGTGTTTATGTGAGTATGTGCGTATGACCGTGCGTCCCCACATCGTGTCCATCACGAACCCGACACCATTTCGCACTGGCAGACGCGGGCATTCCGGATCCGGCACACGGAAGGGGGACAAAGTCACACGCACGCTCACACACACACGCACACACGCACACACAAACACACACACGGACTCACAGACACACACGCACGCCTAATGACTCCTAATGACCACTGATGACAGGGCCGCCATATTAAATGAAACCGAAATTGGTGCGTTGCGTGCTATCACATCAAGGCCTGCTTGTGCGCCGCTGCGCCGCCTCACCTTCGGTCGGTCGTCTTCGGATCCTTCGGGCGTCTTCGGGCAGCCATCGGGCAGCCTTCGGGCCATTCGTCCGTCAGTCAGCGTGCCGAGTCAACACACGACTC